AAGCAACACTACTTTAAAATTTTAAGCATGCCAACAAAACCTCTGGTTTTAACTTTTACATTTAAATTGCCAGATTATGTCTTGTTTTAGTTCATATTGGGTAGGCCTGAACCATCACAGATGACCACAACTGTGCTACAGTGAAAAAATTCAATGAATTCAGTCTGCCAGAATCATGCCATTAATTGATTATGGCTGATCACTAAGATTAGCACACCACCAGTGCTTGAAAACATCAACCATTTGTAATCACAACTAAATTTCTTTTAGTGTAACAAATCAAACTCAGCCCTGCCAATTTAAAAATTAAAACATCTGAACAAGGTATCAGGAAGTCCTCAATGAAATGGTATCTTCAGAAGAAAGTATACAACAAAGGTCCATTTGAGAAACTACCTCTGGAAGAACGTATTAGATCTACCCTTAAGTTATGTTAGGTGTTTTTCAGTAATCCTATGTACGCACTGTAACTATGAGAGCAAAGTCGTAACTATTTGACTTTGTTTTAAACAATGCATGTTGTTTTATTTATACAAAATAACTGTATGTTGGTTATATCTGTGGTTTTTTTCATATTGGAAGAAATACCTGAACTCAAAAACCAACACAAATAATGGTATAATTCGATAATTTTATTTTTTTTTGCAATGTTTTATGAACATTAAAACCTAATACTAGGTGTTAAATCCATGCAACCATTACAACAGGTGAAAACTTGGGGAAAAACCCCCAAAACCTAGAACACTGTCAATAACTTCAATACTGAACAAATGATTTACTAAGAGTAAAAGCAGCATTATGAAGCTGTTGTTTTCTGAAGCTGCAAAACTACTGCTTAAATCTGCTGGAGTTCTCATCTGCAACCACTAATGAATATCAAAAATCACATTTCAAATACTTCCTGTAAATCCACCAGGAAATTCCATCAAATGATTCTTCTTCACAGTACTTGAATTCACCATTTTTGACAAATGTACTTTTCAAGGTCAAACCAAATGTTATGGGATTATCTGCCTTTCACAGAAGATCACACTTTAAATGCTTGCACAGATTCCAAGAAGGAACTTAGAGCTAAATCACTTGGTTTAGGGAGCTCTTAATACCCCTCCAGAGACAGCAATTTGAAAAGCTAGAATAAGTGTTATAACACACACAAGATGAAGGAAAGAGCTTTCCTGGAGTTTTCATATTGCTTCAGTTTTAATATGTAGCCAACTGGGTTGAGTGCAGGGTAATACATAGTTAATGGGCTAAGTGCTGGGTCCTGCACTTGGGTCGTAATATCCCCATGCAACACTACGTGGTAGGAGAAGAGTGGCTAGAAATCTGACTGGAAAAGACCTGGGGGTGTTGGTGGACAGCCAGCTGAATATGAGCCAGCAACATGCAGGAGTAGGTAAGTGATTGCTCCCCTGTACTTGTCACTGGTGAGGCCACACCTCAAATACTGTGTTCAGTTTTGGGCTCCTCAAAATAAGACAGACACTGAGCTGCTGAAGCCACAAAGCTGGTGAAGGGTCTAGAGCACATGTCTTATAAGGAACAGCTGAGAGAACTGTGGTTGTTTATTTTGGAAAAAAGGAGGCTGAGTGAAGACCTTATCACTCTCCAGAGCTACCTGAGAGGAGGTGTAGCAAGCAGAGTGTCAGTCTGTTTCCCCAGATGAAAAGTGGTAAGACTAGAAGAAACTGCCTCAAGTTGCACCAGGGGAGGTTTAGAGGATCTTTTCACCAAAAGGGTTATCAAGCATTAGAACAGGCTGCCCAGGGAAGTGGCAGAGTCACCATTTCTGAAGGTATTTAGAAGAAATGCACACATGGCAATTAGGGACATGACTTGATAGTGTTAGTTTTACAGCTGGACTCCATGATTTTAAGGGTCTTCTCTAATCTAAACGATTCTTCGATCCTATCAGTTCAGCTGTATATGGGCTACCAGCCTTCACTATTCCAAAAAGTACTTTGTATTTTAAGAGTGTAATCACTGCATTCAACTTCCATGCGAGATAAATATTTGTTAAGAACCCCAAAACAGACTTTTCTGAAGAGTAACAAGAGTAACAAACTGTTCTTTATCATAGGAAAGCCTTGCTGGAAGTTATGTGAGATTCCATAAAACAAATTGCTGCTTTTTAAGGGATAACAGTTGGTGTAACAGCTTCAACTGTTAGTATCATCCATAGAAAACTGCATTAGTCAACTGACATGTACATTAAAAACCTTTGTAGAGACTGAACGATAAGAGCCAGTGTAAGTCCTCCAATATTTTTCAAGTTAATCTCTTATATTCAAAACAGTTCACACTCATGAGCTTAGAAGAAGCTTGGCTATGTTTCACTGTGCAACTGTATGATTGTCATTATCAACAACAGAAAGCACAATTTTACAGCAGCCCAAGCTACTTCAGCTTAAGATCAAGTGGCCAATCATTCTAGTCAGTTTAAGAGCTTAGAATCTTGATTCAGTGTCTCTACTATTTATATATATTTATTATCCTCTGAAAGTGAATTATGCCCAAATACTTTTAACGCCTTTACTGCTTGCAGTGGAAGATAGTTTAATGAACGGTCTGTGGTCACACTACATGAAAAAGTAAGCAGCTTACTTCCATCAGAGACGTGAATCTTCCACAGTTAAGAAAAAGTGTAGAAAAATCCTGGAGGTCACCTTGACTAAGCTAACCTTCTTCATATTTGGTATTATTAAGGTACATCGGTCTCATTTTATGCCCGATTAACGTCTGAAACATTTCATGGAACGTCCCTCCTCTTCTCAATAGCTCAAGAGTTTCACATGAAAGATTAACGAACACCCCCACAATTCATATACTGTAGAAAGCAGTACAGAAAGTTAGTTTAAAAGAATTCAATTTTCAAATCAACAACTGCATCCAACAGAATTATTTACATTACACCTAATCTTAGCAGGTGAAGGGGAACAATCTCTTACTTCTCACAATTTTAAACTTGATCAAACTGCTAAATTTTTGTATTTGCAGTATGCAAACCGACTGATGTATTAATCAGTTCTCAAAACTGACTGAAGTACAAAAAATACTCATTTTTGTTTTCCTGATTAAAAATGTTGAGGTTATTGACTTTTAGTTCAACAGATTACAAGATATTCTCTGGCAGAAGCCACGTATACAGGAGATCAGCTAATTGGGTAAATGAAGGCCACTGAAAGTAGGTACATATAAAATAACGAAGCTTATTAGCAGTTAGTAGAAGTGTAATATTTACAACAGCCACAAAGAACAGCTTTGAAGAAAAATTCTAAATATATTGGTCTATCATCTGCAGTTCTACTATTTACATACACTAATATCATACTTCAGTATTTCTCCTGCATTTGGAGTAACAATAAAATATACCACACTCCAGAAGTAATGATGAACAACATTAAACTAAGTTAAACAGACAGTAATTTTTAGAACTTTCAGTAAGAGTTGAACTACCTGATTTCCTAGTTATCTGCTATCAAAGAATATATGAAATCAGACTACGTTACAAAACAAGGTGTGACAACAGATGTTCAAACAAGGATCATAAGATAACTGTATTAAGAGAAAGAACAACCTTTTAATACAGTATCTGTCTCAGAGTAAGCTGGTGAGCTAAGTTCCAGTTCACAAACATTTTATCACCTAGCCTGCGTAAATGGACGTAAGCAGATGTGGTACAACATTTAGCTCTGCATGAAGAAGTGTGAAAATAATACAAGCTTTCCCAAATTATCCACCAGCAGTAACAATTTTCTAACCTCATCTCCTAGTCCAAGTTCACTTTCTTGTAACATTCTGCACATCTTTGTAAGATTCACTCACTTTTTGACTACTGAGCTTAACCAATGCCCCTCAAACTGTACCAGGTAGAGAGATCAAGACATTCTCACAAGTTACATGAAAAGTAGCTGGTTCAGGAAGGACCTTGATGCCCTCACTGACAAAGACTACCATGAATGCACAGCCCTTACCAGTTGTCAGACAATTCATGTGTGAACTCTAGTTTTAAGGCATCTTATTTATTATTAGAATGCAAATAATTTCAAAACAGAAATGGAAAGAAAGACAACATAGGATAAAAGATATTTTTTGTAATGTGTATATAATTATCTGGAAGGAAGGATCAGTCCTCAACAAATTTAAGCAAGTCGGATGCACCACTTGAAAGGCATAAACAACATTAGACAGGATCAAAGAAGTGAAGTTAAATTCATGCAGCATTAAGGCAGTTAAAAACCATTTTACCTTGGAAGTGACATATGAAAATATTATACAGCATGAAATCCTTTGGTTAAATAATTTAAGTGGGCTCACATACTGAAAACGCACTGTTAACCTCCTCTTTTCTAAGTGACATATAACAAATAGCACACGAAGACAAAACATTGCTTGAATTAACTAGTGCTTAGTAAAATGTATCATTTTAAGATGATACAAGGAAGAACAATCAAAGGAAGAACAGAAACAGATTAAGATTATTCTCCCCAGGACAAAATTTACAAGCTTTATAACTGAGAAAGCTTGTCTTCCTACTTTTACTTCCTCTCACTCTACCAACCCAGGTGGATTTTCAGTCATCTGGCAAAAGCAGAGGGAAACCACACCTGTGAGCAACTTCACAGTGCAGATTCCACCACATGAAACACTTAAACAGCTGCCAAAGCTAAATCCCACACCTCCCTGTCTGCTGAAGGAATGCATTTTTTTTTCTTAACCAATTTGCTGTTAATTGCTCTCTAGCTGAAGCTCACAATACTTTTAGTGGTCACTATTATTTTTGCTACACAGCAAAAGTCCTGGAACTTTCTCCTTCAATTATCTTCTCCATAATCAGAGTACACTTTCTGGTTTGGCAAAATAAGCGGCATTTGTTTGATATTCTGAGTTTGTCTGGAGCATCATAATCTTATTTAAAAAGTAGTATATATACACAATACAAGTATATATAGTAACATACATCACTACTGGACAACTTGTTCTAAACATTTGTATCTCACCTTTGAGAGAAGCAATTTCACACAGGAAACATGGCCCTCGTAGACTGCTGATAGGAGTGGCGTGATATTATGTTTGTCTGGAGCCTGTAAATTGAGACAGTTATGTGACGCACAATTTCACACAGTGTTAGAAGGTTTCACTTAACTTTTTAATTCTGTTTTGTCAACAGTAGAGTGAAGGTAAGGATTTAAGAATATTACCAGAAATGCACGTCCTCAATTTTTTTTTTAACTCTCCTTTAAAAAAAAGGTCACAGTTTAAAAAAGTCAAGTAACAGCAACATATTTCTTTCATAAGACTTCTAGATATCCTACAGTTTGTCTATTTTTTCAGGCCACTGATAGAAATCACAGGGTTTCAGCTGACAAATTTTACCCAGTTTAAAAACACTACTCAATTCTCCCATTTCTCAGCCAGCCTGACTTCAGAAACCACTTTTGGCTGAAACATTGAGCTATCTTCTCTATAAACTGTAACCTTGGAAACAATAAAAATGGAGCAAGTGAAACATTCTTATTTTTTCCCTCCATTTTCGCCTCATTTCCCATTAGGAAAGCTCCTGAGGAAGAGAATCTTTCCAGATATAAAGGAAAAAAACCTAAGCCATTTTGTTAAGGACTAATGCTAAGATGTGTTGTACATTAACTTTCAGACAAGCATTCTAGAACACAGTGTTTAGGGTGTACGGTTAAAGTATTTAGAAACTTCACCTTATGGAGAACTACACTATTTTGAAGCAGATCCAGAGGAGGGCCACAAAAAAGACCAGAGGGCTGGAGCATCTTTCCTGTAGGGACAGGCTAAGAGAGCTGGGACTATTCAGCCTGGAGAAGAGAAGGCTCGGGGGGACCTTACTGCGGCCTTCCAGTACCAGAAGAGGTCCTACAGGAAAGCTGGGGAGGGACTTTTTACAAGGGCAGGTAGCGACAGAATGAGGGGAAACCACTTTAAACTGAAAAAGGGTAGATTTAGACTAGATATTAGGAAGAAATTCTTTACTATGACGGTGGTAAGACACTGGCATAGGTTGCCCAGGGAAGTTGTGGATGTCCCCTCCCTGGAAGTGCTCAAGGCCAGGTTGGACAGGGCTTTGAGCAGCCTGGTCTGGTGGAAGGTGTCCCTGCCCATGGCAGGGGAATTGGACCAGATGATCTTTAAGGCCCCTTCCAACACAAAATCAAGTCTTTTCACAATATTCTACGCCTGTCAAGCTACAGCAAAATGAATAAATTTGTACAAGTAAGAATGTCTCCAAAACAGAAGCACACCAGTTCAAAGCAGTTGATCCTGCCCTGACCAAGGATGCATTATACTGTCTTATGAAGTCCCTTCCAACAGACGTAATACGTATTTCACACAAACTTTCTTTAGATGTGCTTACTGGATTTATTTTTCTAATCATGGTCAAATTAAATTTAATTTTTTATAACTACAAACAACTTTTCCAAAAATGTCCAAAAATAATAAAAAACATTTAATAAGCAATCTTAAGCTTCTAACCTCTAGGAGACCACCTCTCAATATTTTTAAATCCATCAAATTTTTTAGTTTGATTTAAGTCTTTCAGTAACCATTTAGGTACTTATACCAATCCCTCACATGTGTGGGGGGGGGGCAGGATGAGGCTAGGAATGTGACAGCAATAGGGTGAAAACCCTAACACACAAAAGATATTTGCAAATTGATGTACATACATTAATATCAGCTCCTTTCAATAGCAGAAATTCCAGAATCTCAAGCTGTCCACAGTCTGCTGCATAGTGAAGAGGCTTCCTCCCACCTTCAAGTGTCCGGTTGACATCTTCACCCTTCAATGTAAACATAATCTAATAAGCAAAATTTTAGAGGTAACACACTAAGAGCAGCTTGAAAAAAATCCAAAACTTTCAAGTATGCTGAAGAATGTTGCATCCAAATATTTAAGCCACTGTCTAAGACAAATGGAAATTAAGATGCTAAATTTCTTTTTCCTCATCTATGCATTTAAGACTATTAGACAACCTTGGTCCCTCCTTCCACACTGCATCTCAAGTGTAGTGAGTAGCCAAGTGCACTAGGTAACTCCTATGATTAAAAGAAATCATTAGTGCTTGCTAAAAAAGTGCTCACATTGGCTCATTTTTCTACACCTTCCCCCCAGCAGGGATCATAGTTATCTGGCTAAATTACTTTATCTGATTCTACACATATTGTAGTTTTGCACACTGAGGAACCAGATGCATAGAAATAAATCAGCATCATAAGAACTAGCAAGCGAGTACAGACCATCCATAATTTTGAAACCCAATTATGAAACTGTCTATTCTGTTTTATAAATAGTACCTGCCAATCCTACATGACACAAAAACTCTGAAGACAGTCAAACAAATCAGGACACGGGAAGTTGTATTCTAATGCCACTTTTGTACTAGTGGATTGAGACATCAAGGAGTAAACAAAATTTAATTTAGTGAGTGCCTAATCAGCTTTGTTTCTTCACCCTGGGTTGCGCAACTAAGGATAAACTGATTTGCCGCACTTCAGTCATGACAAGAAGTTACTGGAAACCAAATATTGACAAGCTATGTGGTAAGTGACTTCTTGCTCGTATGTACATGTAACATTAGTATTATAGGGAGTGGCTAAATTTAGCCTCATACCTCAAGTTCTGCACCTTCACCAAAAAACAATCAAAAGAATTTCAGCTGCAGCACCAATTCACACTTTTCTACAGAGCCCCTGCTGTTCCCTCACTCTTGCCCCAAATCTCTAGATAAAGTTCACAGAATAGAGGGCTTGACATATATCTTCCAGACATCACCTCCCTTCTAAGAATGGAAGGGGAGATTGTCAGAAGGAAATTTTATCCTGCATTTGGTGTTCTATATTATCAGTTTTATGCTACTGGCCGAATAACAAGATGACCTTGGAATTCTCTTCTCCTACTAGTAAAATATTTAGTTGTTCTCATAATATACTGTGTGAAAATGAAAGCAACACAACTGTCTAACTTAATTAAAATACTGTACATTCTGTGGTCTCAAAAGGTCAGGATCTGGTTCTCACAGTACTGTAGCTTCTGGCTCCAAAGCAACATGAAGGTAGCAGCAAGTAGCACAATAAAAAAAAAGTCTGCAACTGCTGTTACTGACCCTAAAACATGGTTATGACTTCTGAAGCATGTTGGACATCAGGAAAAAGACAGTTTCACTTTTATCTATGATTTTCAGGACAGCAACAAATTGTACTTCTAAACAAATTCCATCACAGCTTTAGCCATAGTGAACTATCAACACTGTACAGTAATTTATAATGTAAATTCCAATATGACTAACTTAAGGGCTAATGCTTTATCTGCAACAACTTCACTGGAAACAGTCTCATGATATAACTTTTCTTTCACTGAATTTCAGTACAAAATGTTGGTGGAGATATGTTAACATCTATGTTCCGATTTAAAAAAAAAATAAAAAAACACGCCCAGATCACAGTACACTAACAGCACACAAATAGCCACATTGATCTGAAAAGCATTTAAGGAATCAGCATATACTCAGCTTATCTAGAAACTTAAGCTCTATCCGTATTCTTATTCACACTTTGCCATTTCACATCAATTTTAAAACAACTGGCATTCAAATAACACATTATGTTTGCAGATACATATGGATTGGGATGCAGAAGTTTAGGAAGCCAACCATGCAAAAGCCATGCAATTGCTACCCCAAACCAGGCTCTAAAAACTCCTGTAATGTCCGACACATGCCAAGACACAGTAGACAAGACTGTAAAGGAGAAGGACAAGCAAGCTAACTCCTGGGACAGCACATAGTAAAGCAACAAAGTTCACACTAAAAAAAACTTAGATTCATCATATCTTAAGATTAGGACAGTTCAGCAAAGCTTCTCTTCCTTAAGCTTATAAATATTATTTGGCTCATTGGCTTACGCTGGAGAAATTTATTATTATTTTTTAAAGAATATA